TGCATACAAGAAACACATTTAATTCAAAAAGAAATTCATAGGCTGAAAGTCAAAGGATGGAAAACAATACTCCATGTAACAGAAACCTGGAAAAAAGCAGAAGTAGCTATTGTATCTGCAGACAAATTGGATTTCAAGCTAAAACTAATTAAAAGAGACAAAGAAGGTCACTATATACTTGCTAGGAGAAAACTCCAAAAAGAAGAGGTAACAATAATAAATATATATGCACCAATTACCAGTGCACTCAACTTTATAAAAGACAGACAAGGAAGGTCACTACATCCTTGTAAAGGGAAAAATCTAAGAGGAAGTGATAACAATGATAAATATATATGCACCAAATACCAGTGCACCCAACTATGTAACACAAATAGTAACAGACATGAAAAATCAAATAACTACTAATACAACTGTAATGGGGGACCTCAATACCCCACTGTCACAAACAGACAAATGAACTAGATAAAAAATCAACAATAAAATATTAATACTGAACTAAACTTTTGAACAAACAGACTTAGTATATGTCTACAGAGTGTTCTAACCCACAATATCAGAATACACATGCTTCTGAGCTGCACATGGGAAGTTTCCCCAAACAGACCACATACTAGCTCACAGAACATGCTTAAGTAAATGCAAAGGAATTGAAATTACACCATGCATATTATCAGACCACAGTGCAATGAAATTGGAAATCAATGGCAAAAGAACAAGAGCCACCTCTATAAACACTTGGATATTAAATAACACCCTCCTGAACAAATGGGTCATAGATTAAATTAAAGAAGAAATTAGATGGTTTCTACAATCAAATGGTAATGCCAATGCAACATACCAAAATTTATGGGACAGAATGAAAGCAATCTTACAAGGGAAATTTATAGCGGTGAATACGCACATCAGGAAAACAGAAGGAGCTCAAATAAACAACCTAATGTTGAACCTCAAGCTTCTAGAAAAAGAAGACCAAGTCAAACCCAAAGCTCATATAAGGGAGGAAATTATAAAGATCAGAGCAGAAGTTAATACAATGGAGATGAAGAAAACTATAGAAAGAATCAATGAATCAGAGTTGGTTCTTTAAAAGATTAAATAAAATCGAAAAATTTAGCCAACTTTATTTAAAAAAGGAAAGAAAAGACTCAGATCCATGGAATTAAGAATGAAAAGGGTGAAATCACAACAAACCCTGCAGACATCTAGAATACAGGTTCTTTGAGAACCTGTATTCTAATAAGATGGAAAACAAAAAAGAAATGGACAGATTCCTATATACATATGAGTTACCAAAGCTGAATCAAGAAGATACAAAAATTATAACCAATATCATTTAATTAAATTGAAGATATAATTAAAAACCTACAAATAAAAAAAAGCCCAGGCCCTGATGGATTCTTTGCTGAATTTTGCAAGAAATTTAGAGAAGACCTAATGCCACTACTTCTCAAACTCTTTAGTCAAATTAAAAGGGAAGCAATACTCCAAAACTCATTCCTGGAAGTATGCATTACCCGGATACTAAAACTAGAGAAGAATCCAACCAAAAAGAGAACTATAGGCCTATTTCCCTAATGAACATAGACACAAAAATCCTTAACAAGATAATGGCAACAGAATGCAGCAAATCATCAAGATTATACACCCTGTCCAAGCAGGATTCATCCCAGGGATGCAGGGATGGTTCAACATGTATCAATAAATGTAATACATTTATATTTAACTATACTACAAAACTGTGATAAAAATAGCATGGTATAATAGATAATGTGGAATAAGAAGAAAAGGTCCAAAGGGGAAGGGGAAGTGGGGTGGGAGGCAGGGGAAAGGAAAGAAGGGAAAGAAAAATATATGAGAAGGAAAACAATGGAAACGAAGTTTTTTATAAATAGGGAGGGGTGGAGGGGTGGAAGGGAGGGAAGGGGAATGGGGAAAAAAAGAAGAACCAAGATATACCATGTACAGGTACAAATTCCCAATGATGAATGTGATCATAATGTACCTAAAATGTACCAATAATTTTAATTTTTTAAAAACGCATGGTATTGGGAAAAACGAAAGAAACAAACAAAAAAAAGACCTGAGGATCAATGGAACAGATTAGAAGATGCAGAACCACCTCCAGACATGCTCAGCCACCTTTCTTTTTGGTACTGGGGATAGATCTCAGGACCTTGCACTTGCAAGGCAGGTAGGTGGTGGAACCACTGAACTAAATCCTCGGCCAAGCACTTTATCTTTGACAAAGGAGCCAAACACTTTCACTGGGAGAAAGATAGCCTCTTTAATAAATGGTGCTGGGAAAAATGGTTTTCCACTTGCTGAAAATTAAAACTAGACCCGTATCTTTCACCATGCACTAAACTAAAATTGATGTGGATCAAAGATCTAAACATTAAAACAGAAATACTAAATCTGCTGGAAGATAGACTAGGTAGAACTCTTGAGGACATTTGTCTAGGTAAAGACTTTATTAACAAAACCCCAATTGCACAGGAACTATCACAAAGAATCAACAACTGGGATCTCATCATACTGAAAAACTTTTGCACAGCTAGAGAAACCATCAACAGAGTGAAAAGACAAACCACCATGTGAGAAAAGTTTTTTGTCAGCTGCTCCTCAAAGGACTAATATCTAGAATATATAAAGAATTTTTAAAGAGACACCTCAAGTTTAAATACCCTATTCAAAAATGGGCATCTGAAACGAGGAGACATTTCTCAGATGAAGTAGAACAGCAAATAATCATATGAAAAAATGTTCACCATCATTAGTCATTTGAAAGACGCAAATTAAAACAATGCTGAGATTCCATCTCACACCAGATAGAATAGCTCTTATTAAGAAATCAACCAATAACAAATGCTGGGAGGGCTGTGGGGGAAAAATGAACTCTTCTTCACTGTTGGTGTGAGTGTAGACTGATGAAACTACTGTGGAAATCAGTGTGGAGATTCCTCAAAAAATTAAAACTAGAGGTTCCATTCGACCCAGCTATTCCCTTCTTGGTATCTTCCCAAAAGAAAAGCATCATACAAGAGTGATACATGCATACCCATGATTATAGCGCCATAGTTTGTAATAGCTAAATCTTGGAAACAGCCCAAATGCCCTTAACATGAATGTAAAAAGTTGTGGGTTTTTTTATACAATGGAGTACTACTCAACCATTAAAGAAAGATAAACTTAAGACATTTATAGCTAAATGGATGCACCTTGAGAAGTGAAATAAATTTGACATACATGTAAATACCACATTGTTTCTCTGGTGTAACAAAGTATAAATGAAGACCAAAAATGTACAGTACATATTGTGAAATAAGAAAAAAATGTTCAAATGAGTAGGGGAGCTAAAAAATGGAAACAAAGCTTTTATAAACAAGGAAGGGAAGAGGGGTTGAAGAGAGGGTAGGAGAATGGGAAAAAAAAAGATTCAAGATATATCTTGATATATTCTTGATAGATTCAAGGTACCAATTCCTTATGATGAATGAGATTATGTATATCTAAAACATACCAGTAAACTTCATTTAAAAATCCCTTGATCCATCAACTATTCGTAACTAGAGATCCTACCTTATAACGGTTGGATTCTAACTTTCAGGCTGGCATTTTTCCCCTTCATCATTTCCTTCTCTTTTTATCCATCATACACAACATCCTATCCTATGATACCCCACCTTTGTGTCCTTTTAAACACCATGAATGTATGTGAGCAGTTGATTTAGGTATGAGAAAATTCTCTAGAATTTTCCATCTCTACAAATGCTCCATTTGTAATTTGGCAAAGTTCTATTATTCACTGATGGCAGCACCCAGGGACCTGCACATGACCAACACAATCAATGGTGCTTCAAACAAACTTTAAATTGGAGGTGATCGAAGTGCCAGATATTATTGCAAGGCCTTTGTATACATTTTTTAAATCCTTTTAACTCCATGAGAAAGGTAATATTGTCATACTTATTTTTCAAATGAAGATGAGGTTCATGAAGGTTAAGTCCTTGATCAGTTGCCCTACTAGTAGGTATGAAGCCAAGCAGGCTAGCTGCAGAGCTCATCCGGTGGCCATTAAAATATGCTAGCTCTCATTTGCACAGTCTGAAATTATTGTGTTATCTGAAGAAACACTAGACAATGCCTGACTTACCCTGTGAATTCTTTGATCATCTGCTAGTATTTGGATCTTGGATAGCCCTCAAAGGCTCATGTAGTAAAGAACTGGTCCCCAGATTGGAGGACTATTTGGAAGAGAGTTCATATTTGGAAGTCTTCAGATCATGTGGGCATGTGCCCTTGAAGAAACTATTGGACCACAGCTTTCCATTCTCCTCCATGAAGTCCTACCATGATGTTCTTCTTCATGTAGGGCTGTAAACAAAAGGGTCTACTCAGTAGGACTGAAACCTCTGAAAAAACAGGGATCAAATTAAACTTTTCTTCTAAGTTGATTAGGATGTTTTGTCCCGGTAATGGAAAGCTGATTAACACATCATCTGTTCAACAATCAGTACTATTAAAGTTCTACACACTGTGCACACAGAGGAAAGTAAGAGCAGAAAACAGTGGCTAAGGGCAGGGGCATATGTCTGGTTTAACCAGTACATGAGCAATGAGGACGTAAGACAGGATATCAGGCAGCCACATCTAGTTGGGGTTCTGAAAACTCTCTAGAGTTGGGTAAGCAGTGGAGAGGAGTGTGTTAGAGAAAGAGACTGAGCCCTCAGAGATGATAAAAATGGCCAGGGAACATCCCGAAATGCTTCTGCAAAGCCTCACTACTCTTGACTGACATGCTCCATGCTGGTGCACATGCTACCCTAGGGGCCAAGACGATGTCACCGTGCCACAGAACTGAATACTACACGTTCATTCTTTTCTCCCATGAGCCAACTTTCTAAGGCCAGAACAGACAAGTGTTGTAAAGGAACGGTCTCACACAGGCACATCCTAGGATTAACATTATCTCAGGAATATCTCCAGGACAGCCGACGGAAAGAGCAAAAAGCCAAAAGAAACATGTTTTATTGAATTGACAAAGCATAAAATAGTTGTAGTTCCTTAGACAATTACATTGCTATAAAAATTACATTGCGTGATATAATTACTAATGGCTTGAAGAGAAATAAACAGTTAAACAAAACCAGGCCCAAACTATGAAAATGTAAACCATATAAATCAAAATCATAAAACAATTACTCAATTCTCAGAGGCTTACTTAATATATACATATGAAATTTCTTATACACATACACAATAAAATCTCATAAAAACCATCACTATGAAGCCAACCAGTGTACAAATATGAAAATAAATCTTTATCTTTAACCTCAATTTTATATTCAGCAGGGGGCTATGTGGCTTGGATTTATGCAAACAACATCTAGTATTAAATAATCAAATGTCACATACATTGTATAAAGCAGCAAGTGGAAAAATAAATTATGAAAACACACAGGGCTTAAAGTTAACAGTGAAAAAATGCCTCTTTACTTGACATTATGTTCTATAATCAAATTAAAATAGTGTCCAATGTCTCAGGATACATAAAAAAGGAGTGTAGCATAATTGTGATTTTGAAAATTTTTAGAGAAAAACAGGGACAAAGTAAGTTACTTCTATAGGAACATGTAAATATATATATATAATTATATCAAATGAAGTACATATATCAAATTAAGTCTAAGTTAAAAACATTATTTTGTCTTTATTAAAAATGCATCCTAAATTTGATAACACCTTCATAAAATCAAATTGTGGATAAATAATCATGATCTCGCAGCATGACAGCTCAAGGAGTTTTAAGTAGCTTTTCTTTATACAATATTGCTATCCAGAGATATAAATCTCTAATTTGGCAAAGTATCCACGCTTAGTTAAAAATGATCAGTCTGTCTATCAAAGGCACACAGGTGATCTCTGCGTCAATTTGGTGTGCTGACGATTCAAAGGCAAGGAGCGAGCTAATACTTCTGCATTAAAGGTACTCTCTTATTTACAGGTTGTGAAACACATGTAACGAGACACTTTGGAGAAATAAATAAAAGTAATAAAATAACATGTATCCTAACACAGTTTCCTGCACCAGAACCCAGACGTGTGTTCCATTTATCAACCTACATACATACTATTAGGTCCAACATCACCGGGGCTCGATATACACCACAGAGACAAATAACAAATGCAAAGGTTTGGCTTCTACATACCACGTGTCACAAAAAGAACCACTCCCATTGCACATTTATTTTGACAATTTTCCACAAGCAAGCATGCTTTTTGGCTTGAAATGTCACTGTTTTTTTCTTTTCAGGGAACAAAAACCATAAAATACAAAACTAGAATTCATGGTAGAGTTACTGAGGATTCAATTTTCCAGTTAAAATACTAAATGTCTTTGATAGGAAGAAAACAACATGCTTTGAAAAGCTAAATGATGCTGTGGCTCTTTTATCTTGTCATTCTCCATTTTAAAAAAATAAAGCTTGAGGAATTTAAAGTTTGACCATGAAAATAACAAAAAGGAAATGATTGCTACATAGAATTCTTCTAATTTTCAACAAAAACAAATGTTTTTAACTAGTATAACCCAATAATAGGCTATTAAGTTTTTCTAGCAAGCTACTTGGAGCCTGGAGCTGGACGAACAGAAATAAGTTAAAAATCTATAGCTGGGAACAACTTAACTCATTCAGGTCACTGAAAGCTAGGCACTGCTGGCAATCTTTGGGTCATGTACTGGCTCCTCCGGCTCCTACACACATCTTGACTGATGGGGAAGACTGGCAATTCAGTGGTTCTTCATATATTTGAAGAGCCCAACAGTCAACACTATTGTAATTCCAGAATGCTCTCGTTATCTTCCAAAGCCCACACACCCTTCCACAGTCATTCCCAGTTCCCCTCTTTCTTTAGCCTCTGACAGCCCCTGCAGGGTGTGTATTTGTAGGTGAAAAGGGATTTTGTTCTGGATATTGCATTCAGTAGTATAGACTACGTATTTTCATTAGAATTTCCCACACTAAATTGTGGACTTTGTAAGTATTCTGAGATTATGAAGTACCCCCTTCTATATAAAACTTTTTTCAAACTTGTTTTTTCACACGTAAAAATAGATTTTTCTTTTACCACTAGAGCCTAAAAGTACCATTTTTTTTCTTCAATTGAATTCTGTTCTCATTTCAGAAGTGAGAAAAAAAGTGAGAAAAATCAATACTGCGGTATTAAAAAAAAAAGGCAGGACTAAGCAGAGTCCTTCTTAATAGTAGGTCATTGTGCTGCACTTAACTGTTGATTAAAGTGCTGCAGAATCTAAGCAGTGCTGAGCCCTGCAATGCCTTTGAGGCCAAGCTGCCTGTTCTACAGAGAGAAAACAGGCCTTGCATGGGCTGGTGACAGGCCCAGGACCACTAAGTTAGTTAACAGTGAAACAGAATGACTACTCTCTTTTACTAGTATCAACTATTTTTGGGAAACACTGTTAACTACAAAGACAGCTACCTCATGGGTCTAACTATGTTGATGGGATTTGGCTACAGTTTTTTGTTTTTGTTTTTGTTTTTGTTTTTGTTTTGGTACCGGGGATTGAAGTCGGGTCCTTGCGCTTGTGAGGCAAGAGGCAGAACCACTGAGCTAAATCCCTGGCTTGGCTACGGTTTTGAAATAAGCATGTGATTTTTTTTTTCACTCCATTAAAAACATTTACATGGTATATCCGAAGAGTCTGTGAGGACCAAGGGCCCAAAGCACTCACAGAGATCACAGCAAAGAAGATCTAAGAGAGCCGGGGATTGAGGGGACTTGAGACTACAGAGGGACCACTCTGTAAATTCTTCATACGACAGTGTCAGTAGGATGAGCAAAGACAAGTCACAACATTCAGTATTCTGGAAATGAAAGACTTCACAGCTGAGGGTGTTTAGCATTTAGGCATTGCAACAGCTCTTCATCTGTGCTGACTTTTTGGAAGTGGTCCCAGCCAGACTGGTGATGGACTTGCTGTCAGCCTCCTCAGTTCTTTTCTTCACTTCCCTGGAGGAGTGGGGTGGAGGAGAGGATTACTGAGGTACAAAACTAAGTCCTAGAAGCAACCCTGAGCGACTGCATGAGCCATCCAGACACTGTCCTAGATTCTCTGTGGGTGGAAAAGCACATCACCTTCACAAGAATCCAACTGAGTTTGCTGTGCCCCATTTTAAATGTGAGGAACTGAAGCCAAGAGGTCAAGAAATTTCTCTTAGGTCACACAAATGAAGACATGGGACGCAGACCATGTAGGCTGGCTCTGGTGTCTATATTCTGAACACACACACACCCTACCTTCCCTCTCCCCTGAGGGTTTGGGAGGCTGTATCTTTGACACCTGCACAATTCATTCCCCAGCACTCTGGATCCTGGCTCCTATCCCCACAGGAATGCCTAGGACCCCGAACAAACCAAGGAAATTCTTAGTTATTTTTCTCATTGCTGAGACAAAATACCCAACACACAATGTTAAAGGAGGAAAGGTTTATTTGGCTCACAGTTTGTAGATGCTGCAATTCATAGTAGGCTGGCTTCAAGCAGGGTGGATGGTAGAGGGGTATTGCAAAGGAGAAATAATCCATGCCAAGCAGGCAGGTGAGAGTACATTACCCCTCTCTCTGTCCCTTATATTTTACGCAGGCTACCTGCCCTAGGGTGGGTGTAGCACTCACACCCTTAATCCTATCCAGAACTATGCTAAACCAATCAGGGACTGGTTTAGTATTCACACACTCTTGATCCCAGCACCACACACTCTAGATCCAGCCACCACTGAGAGCTCTTCCTATGACAGCATGTGGCTTTAGGGGGACATCTAGACACAAGCCATAGCAGAACTTTTACTTTAATTATACACAATAGCAGAGGGCACAATGGAAAGTTCATACCCATGTGGGACTATCTTTGCTTCCTCCCTAGTTTCTTTAAAGAGGCAATTAATATCCTCTTCTCCCATATCTTACAAAAGCCCCCCAAGGAAGTGTCTAACAGTAGTCTCTGGGATGTCTGAAGTCCCACCGTAGACAAGATGAATGATTCTGTGGGTGAGCATGACAGTGTATCCCCAAGGAAGCCCCAACGACTCTACCTTCCTATGTTGTGACTGGTGCTCCCCCACCACCGGGGCAGCTTTGCCCCTCCCCTGAGCCAAGCCAGGCTCAGCCAGGACGTCCAAGCCCAGGAGTTAATAATGCCAACCACCGCGGCCTCCTCCTGCTTGATGCTTTGAGCTGCCATTTCAGAAGTTCAGGGTTTTTGACGGACAGAAACCACCAGAGTGCCATGGGGGATGAGATGACACACTAAGAAGCCACAGGAGGAAAAGGTAAACTGAGCCACAACACCTAGGAGCTGTGTGACTCATGAAACGTCCCCCAAACTGCGGACAAGAGACCCAGCCTGCGCTGGTGAACTGTGAAAAACTAAAAATGGCTGCTTAAGCAATTAAATCTTGGGATGCTTATTAGGGAGCTAGCTGTTAAGAGAAACTCCTCAAAATAATGTTTTATAGAAATAGTATGATCCATGCCATTTCAAACTTTTAAACTGCTACATTAAAAAAATGTAAAACAATGTGAAATCACCGTTATTAATATATTTAACATAGTGTAGTACAAATATTACCATTTCTGCATTAACACATTAATGATAGGGCCATAATTTGTATGCCTTGCTGCTGGGCAGCTCTGAACAACCAGTGGTACACACATGTCTATCCCATTGGGCAGCATGGGACAGTCTCAGTGAGTGCTAAAAGCCTAATGGCACAGTCATACCTGTACTCCCCCCCAACCATGGTTCCAGCTGGCAGGAGTGTGTCTGTGCCATTAATTATGAATGAGATATCTTATAATTTGTATACTGTCTTCAAAACCCAGTATATATTTAATACTTTATTTCAAGCATCTAAGCGGCTACTAAAGCTTCAGAATATTCTGATGAGTCCTCACTTTTGGAAAATTCCATATAGTGAGTCAGAAGAAAAGATATGTTAGCAGGAAAACACATTAAGTAAACAGAAACTAACTCTCCCTGTAGCCACTAATAAATGCTATGATGTTTTCACATTTTCCTTATTTAACAGACATCATGCACACACACACACCAACACTTACACCTGACAGGTGAGCAGTATCACCTCACCTCACAGATAAGGAAACAAAGTCTAAGGAAAAGAAACAGAACCAACCCATGACATCCTGAAAAAGTTAGCTCAGACCTCTGACTCTAGAATGGTCAGAAGAATGTGCATTGTTTAAGCCACTATTTGGGTCGTTCCCACGTGCAGGAATTTGTTATGGAGCACAGAAAATTCCATCTTGGTCATTTTGACATTTAACAAATGCCCAGTCTATGCCAGGCTGTGGGGTCCTTAGCTAGAGAGCAACGAGGGAGAGGCAGATGTCTAAACAGCTAATGACAAATTCCCAGAGAGCATCTTACACACATACCACGTGTTGCAGGATCTGCAGATCTTCGTGGAGACTCTGACATTAGAGGAATCTCTTGAAAGAGCAGGGATTCGCCTGGGGAAGGGAATCCAGGTGCAAGGAACAGTGCGACAAAGGCTGAGGCCTAAAAGAGCATGGCCATGCTTAGACACAGAGGTGGCTATGTCTACAGACTATCGTTCATCCTGAGGAAAGGGGTCTGGTCAGGCCATGCAGGACTATCAGCCCCATGCTCAGAAACCTGGACTCCGAAACCTACCATAAGTAGGACAACAATTGTGGGGTTGAAGGCAAGAAAGTAAATATTAATTGAATTTTTGTTTATAAAAATTCCACAGGTTGCAGGGTAAAGGATGACCTAATACTGGAGAAGATCTGAGGCAGAAACTTATGTACTAACCAAGGTAGGAAATGTGAAGCCTGAGTGAAAGGAGAGATAGGGCTGTGGGGATCAACAGACATACACAACCATTACTGAATGGACAGGGCTCAGAATCCACTGGAGGGAGAGGGTGAAGAGCGAGCAGAAGGGCAGAAAATGTCAAGATTGAGTCTGGGTGACTAGGTTTTAGTTCTGATTTTGCTAGATTCCTGAACCAAGAACAAGATAAAGACAGATAAATACGTTACGATTTTGGATTTACTGAGTCATTCTACCAGTACATCTTCCATTTGGTGACTCAGAATATGCTCGTGGCATTTGTCGGAGGAAGTAAATAGTAGTTCTAAATACAGAAGTAGAATGTCATCAATTAGAGATGGTTTCAGAAGCAATAGGGATAGAAGACACCCAGCAGGGGGAGGCAAGCAACTGCAAAATGGAATCCTGAGTGGCCCAACGCTTGTGTGCCAAGCCAGTGACTCAGGTTAGTAGAGTCCTGACTCCACCCAGCTCTGTCACTGATAAAGCTGATTAAACACTCTAATTCCCAAAGTTCTCATATGTCAAGTGGGTGTGATAATCACAACATCCTCACAAGGTAATTCACAACTCTGCCTTCTGAAAGGTCCAATGACCTCTATCAGCTATGTACCAAATGGCTGTATGGGTTATGTATTCTCATTTTTTTCCCTGTAATGTTGAACTGTAAAGCTTACTTTTTATACCCTTGATTTCCTATTGAACCTAGCATAGAGCTAAGCACATACTAAGTTTTTCAAAACAATGAACACATTATTGAACCTGAAAGCAAATATTAATGGGGAAACCCATATCTTTCCTCTGGCCTTCCGGTTCTTTAATCTACCAAAAATGCACGCATGCCTCAATTTAAAGAAATCAGAAAGATACAATTCCAAACATCTAAAAGAGGTTTAACACTGGGGAAATTAAGTGGCCTCACCAAACACTAACAAGTGCTTAACTGCACTGGTAAAAATATCACGTATAAAAAAATGAAACAATTATACTTTAAATGACAACAGCTCTTGTACTCAAATGATACATCAGCCTGAGCTTTTTGTATTTTTCTCCAGTCTCACACTGTTGATCAATTAAATCCCTTCTGAACTTGAAACTGCTGCACAACATTAAAGCCTGTAGTTCTGATAACAACAAATTTATTCATCAACAGGACCGTGGTTAGGAAAATGGCATCACTGCACTACAGGAAAATTGCACTTCTAGCAGAAAAGTTTTCCTGGGATTGAGAGATTTTCCAGGAAAAAGCAAAGCAGTTCAAGCTGTTAACCAAACACATTACGACCTCCCTTCAAAATCAAAGTCTATTTCAGACAGCACAAAGGCATACAGTCTTCCCGCTCATGTTTTATGACATTACGTGGAGCAGAAGGGAGCATGCTGAGATCACTCCATGAGATCTAAGTCAAGGACTTAAGTATTTTACATAATGTGCAATTTTCTAAAGGCTGTAAAACTTTTTAAAAAATCATTGTTCTACCTGTGGAGACTATAACTTTTTCATTTAAGACTTCAGTACTTTGAAAAGCTAATCTGAAGGCAGAGAATAAAGAAAAGCTTTCACATATTCGCTTTATTTATAATTTTAATATTCAACACATCACTAACGTAACTAGAGGTCCAAACTAGAGCACAATGCAGTAACAATACAAAGAAAACCTCCACAGGTGATTCAAAAGAAACTTGTCAATTGTCTAAAGTTTAAAAATAACTATGACCTGACCACTGCACAGTTGAAGTGACCTTCTCAAAAGGCCTTTGGACACCAGGTGTTTTAAGTAAATCAACACAAGCTGGTGTCTAAGCTTCCCTGTAAACAGGGCCAGTGGCTGGGTGACCCAACGGGCCATACAGGAACAGATGGCAAGGAGGAAGAAGGCAGCTCACAACCACACTTGCATCCAAGATATGATAGAGAATCGATTCCACACAGCAGGTATAAACAGGGCACTTTGTATGCATTTAACTTTAATAAGACAATTGAGTGTTAAATACGATTATTCAGTGGAGTAAAAGCTATTTATAGAGAACCACATACTATCACTGTTGGAAAGGAACTCTGGGATCACTTTATTCATCCTTCTTTTTCATTTTACAGATCAGAGATCCCTTAAGGCAGGGGTTTGCTGAAAGCCCGGCAGCTATTTAGGAGTAGATTAAAGAACGGACTTTCAGTCTCCTCTTACCACAGTCCTCCAGTGTGCCTGGCAATAGTAACTATGTATAGCTCAAATATCTCTCATCCAAAATGCTTGGGACCATAAATGTTTCAAAATCTGAAGTTTTGTGGACTTTGGAATGTATGTATAGAACTCACCAACGGACTATCCCTAACCCAGAAAGTCAACTCAGAAATAGTGCAAAATTTCAAAACTTTTCAACCATCAGAATCTGTGCCAAAAAAGTTCCAGACTGTGAAATGGTTGGGATTTTCAGATAAAGGACACTCAACCTGCCCAAGGTCTGTAGCCATGTCCTTTTCTGCGGTGTGGGTGCAGCAACTCAGCAACCCACAGACCAAGGCAAAGGCCGCACCCAGCCCTTGCTGGGCATCAACTCGTGGGCTCCTCCTACCCTCTGCCCCAGCATCCACCCCACCTCCATCCGGGAATTCTTACCTCCACACTGGTGATACACCAACACAACCACGTGAAAAAGTGAGAACACTAACCAGTTCAACAACTATCCCGTCTTTACAAAGGCAAACACTGCCTCACCAAACTTCTCCTTTCTAGATACAGCTTGTTCGACCAAAAGAGCTGGTGTGCCCAGAGCACAAGGAAACCATAACTGACCTGCTTTATAAAGGATTAACTCTGGCTATTTAAAAAATTAATTCATTTATTATTGCAATATTGGGACCTGAACCCTGGGCCTTAGCACTGAGCTACATACTTAGTCAATTCATTTCATTTTGTTTTATTTTAGAGACAGGGTCTTGCTAAGTCACCAAGGTGCCCAGGCTGGCCTTATGGTCCTCCTGCCTCAGGCCGCCAGAGTGATGAGATCACAGGAGTGTACCACCACAGCCAGCTACTCTGGCTTTTTGACAAATGTGATATTAGTACATGATTCTACTATAATCACAGACAAAAAAAAATTGTGTGATAATTCAGCTGAATCTATACCAGTTTAAATATTTGCCTTTCTTTTTTACCTATTGTAGGCTACACTTGAAGTCAGAAGGGGTTTTTGCTTTAACTAAAGATGACTTCCAGCAATGTAAAGCAGAGTTTCCATTTACCCTGAAAAGGTGAGAATATTTAAAGCTGCTGAGTGTAAGCCCAGGGCATCTTCCAAGCCCGACCACACACTCCTATCAGGTGGGACACCTGAAGTCTTGGTACCTGCTTCCTCATCCCCCACATTAGAGAAGCCGCCTAGTCCAAGCCCCTAGCACAAGCATCCACTAACAGAAGTCTAGTCTATTACCTACTATGACACCAAATCATTAATTGAAAAAGCTTTTATCATTAAAAATACTCTCAATGTTTACTAGCAGAAGAGGTCAATTATCACAATAAAGATTCTTATAAAATCTCAATCAGAAAAAGAATTATGCCTAAAATCATGTGTTTTTTCCTTAACTACATATTAACCTGAATTTTATTTATGTATTTTTTTCCTTGGGGGATATAATCCTTTTAGGCCAGTAGAGAATCATTTTTCCATTTATGGCAGAAAAACCAAGCAGAAGAGATAAGTCTGGCAGGTAATGTCATGTCCTAAGAGCACTCCAAGAATTAAAACACAAACATTTACATCTAAGTTCTTTAGTGATGCAATTTTCATTCTAACCTACATCCCAAAAATGTTACCACCACCACCTTAGCTTAATAATTACCTAGAAATAGTTTTGATAAAGTGATTCCAACTGGCATGATATACAATTTGCTTTCCTGGGTTTTGTTATCTTTTTACCCAGGAAAATGTCATAATAGATAGTTGTATTTGTCATAGTCCCTAATGTTTAAAAATCTGGTTCCTGGTGATGACTCATACAAGTCAGATACAAGTTAGCTTCATGGTGACATTTTACAGAAATGTCAGCACCTCAGATCCACCTGTTTTGTTTTGCAATAAAGATATTCTGCCAGTGTTCACAGGGAACAAGCAGCATTACCAGTTTCTCTAAATATCCATGTGTATTTGTTTCTCCTACCATGACTGAAAGACAGGACAACGTTTTCCAATGTAAACTCTAGCTGCATATTATGGTCAAGACATTTGACATACGCATTAGCTAAATAAAAATTCAACCCTAAATCTAGTTTTCCACACATAAGGCAAACCTTACCGAGCAAGATGGAGGACAGCTTCCACGATATTGGAACCATCTTTGGCACTGGTTTCACAGAATAATGCCCCATACGTCTGCAGAAAAAGAGTATACACAATTCAATGAAGTCTTTCATTGGGTTCCTTTTAATTTTAGTTATTAAAATCAATAATTTAAAATATTGTCCTGTTTATAGTCAATAAATTAAAATATTTTTCCTTAATACCTAAGAAATCAAATTTAGAGTTTCAACACTTAACTTGAGCATAGTTAATCTAGGAATAGTTCCTAATCAGTGGATTTTTATTTTGTGTTAAAGAAGTACAAATTCGTGTTTTAAGATTTTGCTGCCAATAATCATACACATGCTACCAAATGTTCTGTATCAACTAATTTTAAAAAGATAAAAATGATAGTTTGGGATGGACTGTCCGTCACAAGTTTGCTTTTCACCAGCAGTAAAGGTCTATTCTCCAGCACACAATCATCTTTCCTTTTAGGATCCAGCAGCTTAAGCCAAGACACATTTTCTAGTCCTGTGTCATTCAACCTCCCAGCAATTAGGTATTCTGTATATAAGATTGATAATCATATTCTTCTGCTATAGGCCTTTCAGAGCCCTTCCTCCTTCTTTGAAGAGAAATATTTAAAGACTTTTTCCATGGAAAACAGAGCCCTGCTTGATGTGGCTTTGGCCAATCTTCTAGCTTTATCTTCTACCCTATCCCCTCTCTCACAAAGCTTTAGTTAACATGAACTTCCCTGTGTTTCTCCAGTGGCCCAAATTCCCCGACTTTAGGAGTTTTGCACTTGCTCTTGATTATCTAAGCCACCCTCTACTTCCACCAATCCCTTCACCAATCTCTTACTTAATGTTTGGATTTTAAGGTAACCTTTTTTGGGGGGGGGGGGGATACCAGGGATTGAACTTGGGACCTTGCACTTGCGAGGCAGGTGCCGGAACCACTGAGCTAAATCCCTGGCCCAAGGTAACCTTTTTTTGAAGTTAAGATTAAGTCATTTCTAATCCTGAAAAGTCTATATCTGGTCTTAAAACTCTCCAGTGCTCTATTTTTTTGTGCATAGCACCTGTCACAATTGTAATTGCTGGAGTTATTTTTGTGTCCTTGTCTAACAAGTTGAAGATACTTTCTCTTAATAAAACAGAATTGGGTGTATTGTAGGCCTGGGTGTGGGCTAAGAATTCCTCTGAGGGACAAGGGGAAAATTTCATTGTTGCTCTGGAGCAGGGAGAGAGAAAAGCAGGAACAATGGGAAAAGACTCCAGAATGAGGCCTTTACCTAACACCTCCCAGATCCATAGAACACCTACATATATCACAAAGTGAGTGTATTTCTAGGTGAGTGCTGTTGCTTTTATACCCAGAACATTATGGGATGAATTAGAGACTGCCTCTGAGGATACAGGAGGGTGAAAATCATGAGCTACATTAGGAAACAAACCTTGTAGACTGAGAAGCAATAAAACTGGCAGGTGTCCAATAACTGCTAGTTCTAGAAGGGCTCATCAGGAAGAAAGTCTGTTTTGTGGACTGAGTAAGTATCAGCCTATGCAATGCCAAGGACTGTCTGCTTTCTCTCTGGTCTTTGCTCAGCATGTAATGAAGTGTTTGTAATATGATGGGCACAACTAAGCACGTATTGAATGCATCTCCCCTGCGTTTCACAGTTTCAATGTTTTTCATATTTGTTTTGCAGTTCTTAAATTTAAAACAAAATTTTCCAACTTAAGATGGTAAAATGAAACTTCATTTTAAAGCTCCCGTACATTTGCTGCTGAGTCCTTTCTTGGTGCTGATACCAGACACCATATCAACATCAAATCCATGTATTACAGTGAGTGCAAATGAATTCCTTGGACGGGTAATATAAGTCATGAGAGGGCCATAAAGCATTCGAACAAAGTGATAGCGAAAGGAGAAAAGCACCGGTCCATGGTAACAAACTGCACAGGAATAAACTTAAACCCTTATACAAATGCATAACCAAAAATAATTTTAGACTAGTCTAACTAAGCACAAATCTTTGAAAAAATTTTTAAAAAGAAGGCTTCCAATTCTCTTCTACTCAGGTGAGGCACTCTTCCATCTCCTGTCCCTTAGCATGGTAACCCTCTGGAACCAACTTATCTTTTCAAAGCAGAACCTTTATCTAGGTTCCAGGGCTAGAAGAGAATTCCAGGAACACAGTAAGAGGGCAGGACAAAGATGGCAAGATGATTTCAGCTCATCTTTGTCAAAGATACTCAATGATGATGTGACTGCTTTCCCTTTCTGACAGATTTACTCCTTGCTTATGCTGTGCAGGAGGCAGGGCACCAGGAGTTCTATAGGGTAAGTAGGACATTGTCCCATGAAACATGGTGAGGCTGGTCAAAGAGCCTCTTAATCAGAAGATAAAAGTGAAGGCTGATGATTCCAAAGCCTCTAAACTCCTATGTTCTTTTCCAATTCAAACCTCCTCTCCCTCTTACCATGGCCAGTTTTTCTCCAAAATATCCTGGCACACATTTCTGTCCCTCTGCAGCAGCAGTGTCACGAAGATCAGACTTGTTTCCAACCAACATGATAGGAACAGTCTCATGAGATGCATCCTACCATGAAGAAAAAATTGGGCATGGATCAAACACTGGAAAAATTATGATGACATCACTGATGATGGTAATACCAGCAGCAGCTACCAGTCCAGTTGCCCTCGTGTGTCAAATGATGTATTCAAAATTTGGTGAGTGAAAGTGTGTAAATGTAAGCACACTTTCACTGCATTCATAATCAATGTAAATCATATTTCAGTAGCACAAACTGAGTACTTATTACCACTGACCAAGTCTTATTGCCAATTGTGACATTATACATATTTGTTACAATTAAGATAAGATCTTTAAACCTCAAAGTATTTCTAAACACAACCACACTTTTTATTCCCTATTTACAGGTAAGAAAACTGAAATTCAGAGAGATTAAATAAGATCCCATAATAATCAGGGCCTGGGTCCACTGACTCTATTACCCCCTATTATACAATGTTCCATTTTCAGGTTAATGAAAAGGGTAAATGAAACTGGAATTAACTGCCTTTACAGCAAAGGAAATATGCATCCGCTAGTTTCTTGTCACTAGCACACAGAGCACTACAAACCAATATAAACTTAAAAGACATACCCACAGCAGCACACTAGGTTGGAGTGGCCACATAATTTTATACAACTCTTACTTCAAGCAATGCTGATTACAAGTCAATTTCATTCACAGGTGCAAAACCCAAGCAATTCTTCAGCTTTCAAGGAATGAGATTCGAGCTCAAAAGTTCCACATTTACTGCTCTCGTTTACAACAAAAGCAAAATTTGAGTCATAAAGGTCAACAGTTTTCTCATAAGCAAATTGACTTCTAATCATTCAAAGTTATAGATTCTAAAGCTAATTTTCAGATCAGCATATGCAGAATGCCACGCCATCCCAGAATTCACAGTGGGCAGGGCTACTGGCACTTAAAGTGTGATTGCAGAAATAAGGCTGGGACCCCGCTACTCCTACCAGCTGGCACTCACTAGAAGCATAAGATCAGTCTCTTTAGGTTTCTGCATCAATTTCCTCATCTATGAAATGGAAGGGGTTAATAAAGGCACATTCTACCTTTGCCGGGCAGGCAATGATGAGGATAAAAGATGATAAGCTGACCAGCACAGAGAAACAAGTTTCTCCTTCTTAATCAAGAAAGCAGCGCCCTGATATCCACATGTGGAACGTACCCTTTGTCTAAAACTATCTGGGTGCTCATTCAGTTTGAAGATACACCTTGTACAAGATCGAGACATGAGCCTTAAAATGAAGTATTTGACTTTTCTCTTCAGACAATGCTTCTTTACTGAAGGCCTCAGAAGGCAGTGAAAGCAAAGGGGAGAAGGGTGCAAAGGTCTCCCCAAAACTTGCTAGTCCATCCATTTCTGCACTCGGGAACTGTGCTCTTGGGTGGTCTCCTCAGAATCCCCTGGGAAGTCACTGATCAAATATTTACTTGTTGTTAGCCCAGAAGCTGAACATCTAAATGGTTCCCCAACGTCATACAGGTGAAGGCTGACACCTTCTTCAAGTCTTAGCTTGAACATGGCCTTCTTGGTGCAACTGCCCAACGGCACTAATGAAAACTGCAGTCCATTTCCTTATTATAGTGGCCTGCATCTGCTTTCTTTTTGCTTCTGTAACATTTGTCCTTTCTGTCGTTGTTTGTTGCTTGCTGTCAAGTCTCCTCTACTAGAATACAAGCTCCAGAAGGACAAAGCACTTTGTTTTAGTGATAAATCCCAAACACCCAGAAAAGTAGGTGGTTGGAGCAGAAACTCGAAATATCTTTTTTTAATTGTTGAGGTCTTGGGCATCAATCCCAAAGGCAGTAAACTTCTAAGCAAAATCCCCTGGCCTTTTCTTTTTTTTTGAGACAAGGTTTCCCTAAGTTGTCCAGTTGGAACCTGAAATTACAATCTTCATGCCTCAGTCTCCCTAAGTGCTAGGATTACAGGTATGCACAGATATTTGTGAATGTGTAAAAGTCAGAAAGAAATCTCAAGTTTCTCTGTTCAGCTTTACCTAGTCAATCAAAAAATTATTCAAGATGGGTAAGTAAATGGCTATAATTTGATTTTATCAATTTTATTATAGATTTTATAACCTAGTGGCTTTCAATCAAAGTAAACAAACTATCAATTCAGAAGATTCATTCACTGCTTCTCAATCCTCTGGCCCATCTCAGTGTCAGGACCATTCTCTTGTACCCAATTTATGGTGGCCATGAAAATGGTCCCTATAGGACTGTCTCAAATTAGAAAGAGGCATGAAGAAGCGTTCTCCTCCTATGCAAAAGTCTGTATCCCACAATGTCTATGGCTTTCTCACAACAAATTTAGTAATTCACCTTGAATAGTTTTATTCCTCCAGACCCTATGAAAAATGGAGGCCACTGGCTGAAATGGTTATGTGCCACATGTACTTGTTCAGCAATAAATGGATGTGGGTTGGTTGAGATCAGAACTATTTTATAGTGGCTTACATTGCCTTTCTTGAGCATACTCTCAAATTTTAAAAAGAAGACTAAGGATAAAACTTCAACAGTATAAAGCTTCTGAGTTCTGTTTGTTCCTCTGAGTAGACAACTCTCCTCTGTGTAGGAACAGTACCCTAGAATTCCTTTCTTTTCATTAAAGGCTTCCTCCATAAACCAGCTGCTCACTTCAGAGCTTTCTTCCAAGTAGCAAGCAGTGTTGAGTCACGAGGTCCAATTAAATCCCTCATTCTACCCCTAATTCCTAAAAAATACTATAGCCAAGTGCCATATACCTTCTGTGCTTTGGATTTCTCTTTGTAAGTAAAAATATGTTTTGGACTTCCTTTCACAGATGTTACAGAGACAAATGTAACATGAAAAAGTTTTTGAAATAAAAATGTGATACACTTGCATTGCATTTATAGAGATTTGTCATATTTTCAAAGAATAAAGGACATATTTATCATTGTTGAAATAACACTGTCAATGGTAGTCCTTTCTCTTATTACATTAGTTAGAAAGGGAACATTAATTTCAGAGGCTAACTTTGGATCAGCAAGAAATCACTTGTTTATCCATTACAACAATTTCATTTTTGCTTAATATTATCAAAAATATCCCTATCTGAAAAGGCCTATTAGCTACTAGTTTACTTTTCAAGATGGTTTGCTGCATCATGGCTTGAACTATACTTTTGTATTTTAACTACTGGCAGCACATTAAATGTAGTTATCTCATTTCCTACTTTTACAATTGTTTACCACGAAACCAAAAGATATGAAAGTATCTTGAATGAAGACACTGTTTTGCTTAACCACAGATATCACCCCCACATGTTAAAAATGCCAACTGGTATTTCAGAGGGATCTTGTGGTATCTAAAGGTCCTATACCATGATCAGAAGATGGTTGGGAACATAGTTGTGTAGCATTCAGCCCTCGGCACATGCTCGTATCCAGATGATGTTGCTCATGCTCACTGAAGCCCCTCTACACACCGGACCATACCACACCCCAACCACATCAACTCCTCGTTGGTCAAGGCTGCTGTTTCTTAGATTTCCTGCATTTTTACCTCATTACATGAGCTTCTGATTTTATCTAGGAGAAACCAGAAGTTCCATTCTCAGAAGCTACCCTCATTGTGACCTTGGTATTTATGTAACTCTCAAGAAAGAGCAAGTCTGCCAAGTGCAACTGTTTCTGAAAGCACACATCGCTGGCTTCTCATCAAGTTCATGCCAACAAAGAAGAGCAACAAACATGATTTTCCAAAACAGTCTATAACTCCCCCAGGTAATTTTCTGGTTCTTCATTCCACTTCCTTACCTCAATCATATCCATCCATTCTCGAACGTTAAGAAAGCTTTTCTCGCATGTAACATCATACAGCAGCAAAACACCACCTGCTTTCCTGAAATAAGACTTGGCAATACTTCTGAACCTGGAAAAGACAACAGCACATAGTCACTCTAACAGCTCGGTGCTGCCTCATTCTTCATCTCCTTTATGCTCATTCCTTCCTCATCAAGTTTTGGCTCTAATTGAGAAGCCTCTAACAACATGTTGCTCTGAAATAGCCCTCAACAAGATCTCAAATGGCCTAGTAAAGGGAACAAGATGAACGTCTGGGTGAGTGATTTTTAAAAAGCCAATCATTTTCTCCACCAAACAACTCCAAGAATGTCTACTCATCCCATAACCACAGTGAAAGCATACTTTAAAAAATTTTAGCCTCATCAACAAGCTACCAGAACCCACCTGTGGACTCAGAGGAGTGTGGAAGGAGATGCAGAGGGAGGAAAGTCACTGTGGGGTTAGTGTCAGGGAGTGTAATGGGTGGACAGAAGAATACAGGGCACCACCACGTGCCAGAAGCTTTGTATTCATGAGTGGGGTCTCATTGGGGCAGAGCACACTTCAGTGTATACAAGTTCTCAAGTCCGCACTGTACATCAACTGTGGTGCTTCTCTTAGCCATTAAAATGGTTAAAACTAGGGCCATGTCAACCACAGATACCTTTAAAATGATGGAACCTCCAGTCTGCTGGAGATCATCACCTCTACGAAGGCAAGCATTGGTCTGTTCCTCACTGAATCTCCGCATGCTGAATAGGGACTGGTACAGAGTTTATTTTTTGAACAACTGAGTAGATCGTCCCCCAAGGAGTTAGCAAGAAAAGGTATCATCACTAGATGTGATTCTGCTGTTTAGTTTGTGTCTCTGCTCTTGAGCCAAGGGGAGCGGACGAGTTTTCTTCTCCATTATCTGTTGATGCACAGCTAAGCAGCCCCTCACACTGTCACTGCTTTCGGGATGTTTCCCTCTCCAAAATTCCCTTGTTAGGAAAGTGCACCTTCTTTGTCCCATCTAAACACCAGCTCCAAAGAAGCTTAAAGACCCTCTTCTCACACAACTGATATATACTTAAAAGAACAGATGAGTAAGCATTTTTGAGATTATAATATACGTTATAATATACCTTATAATTACAAATATAATACTATTACTTATGTATAATTTATGGCATATTGACAGTCTATGAGTATAAAGAACATCAAGAATCCTACAAGGCTTATCCTTGTAAACCTAAGCAGAATCCAAATGATTATGAAAACACTTGCCTCTCCTGCCCTGCTGTATCCCAGAGCTGAAGAACTATTTGTTCTCCATCCACAATGAGAGTTTTCACTTGGAAATCAACTCCTGAAAAAGAATATGAGAGTAGAGAACACGACATAGACAATTCCACTAGCTTGTACTTTCAAGCCACCTTGAATGAAAGAAAAGCCAATAAGCTAAAGCTCAGTGTGGTAGAAAGGAACGAACATGGCTTCCAAGAAGAGTGACTTTCACGTACTAAACATCAATCAGATCACCATGTGCAGCTCTGTGGACTTGGAGAAGGGCTTAATCTATGGAAAGAAAAACCTGTGTCCTATTTTTCCGGATTATTAGATTAAATCAGTCATATTTATGTAGGTACATATGTATGCATGTACACAAGAATCTGTATTTGTGTGTAGACGGCATGTGTACTTATGAAGGCATATGTGTAAGCATTATGTGTATATATGTGTGTGCTTAAGATTGTGTGTATATGTATGTTATGTATGCACGTGTTTGTATGTATAGATGTATGTACAAGCATGTGCGCAAAATATGTAATGTATATATGTGTGTGTTTAAAAAATGTCACAGCCTCTAGCAAGTGAACCCAATGCTGCAGTCTTTGATCAATCAAGTTGAAGTGGACTTTCAGCTTTGGTACCCTGAAGGATATATCAGAGAGTCCTAAATTTACAAAGTCGATGATTGTGAAGAGGACCATCGATCTGCTGTAACATTTCTGGTTATCAAAATAAGAAATCTTGGGGCCGGGGATTTAGCCCAGTGGTGCCGCCGCCTGCCTCACAAGCGCAAGGTCCTGAGTTTGATCCCCGGTACCAAAAAAAAAAAAGAAAGAAATCTTTGGAGGAAGAAAAATGAGGGATAATTCAATTCCTTTTACTGATTATTATGTAAATTTGGGAAATGAAGATTTTTATTCTACTGCTTTGTTGTGAGATGGGGAAGACAGAAAGGGAAGAATGTGGCTACAATTTTGACCATAATGACAAATTGGCCAACAGTATTGTCACATTATCAACATCAAAAGACACCTTATCAGAAAGGGTTCCATAGCCACCCTGCGTAAACTTGTACCTCTCTCCAAACCAGCTATCTATTCCTTTCCATTGGAATGTAAGCTTCTTGTAGGCTGGGATTTATTTAGTGGGCTTTCTTCACTTGCATTCTTACACCTACAACAGTATGTGGCTCCAAGTAGGAATCAGGAAATATAGGCTGAATGAGCGATCCTAACATGTCAGGATCTCAAGGTGGTCTGGCTGACCTGACTGGCTAAGTGGATTGGATGCCTCTGTCCTTTGTCAGTTTTCCTGTGCTACAGTGGGGCTTTAGCCAAACAGAAAAAGGACAAAGGCACACATACTCATCTACTGACATGACTATACAGAGAGATGTGTCTGTGTGTATGTATAATCCCTGAAGAAAAAATTCAAGCTAGGGGGACATTTTCCCATTATCAACTGAAAGAAGAGCCATACCCAGCGTGGCACTTGTATCTCCTCGAAATTCATTCTTGCAAAGTCTCATGAGGAAGCTGGACTTCCCCACAGCTGCATCCCCAGCAAGCACAATCTTGTAGGCCTTCTGTGATTTCGGAGCTTTGGAACTGTCCCCTTCCATGTCTGCCTGGGGGAAAAGCCACAATAGGTGCTCATACCAGTGCCTGTTTCCTCCAGTCCAGAAAGTGAGCAGAGCGCATGAGCAGAAGTGTTTCCAGAGCTGCCTACCTGAGATGAGAGAGCGGAGATGGGCCTCCTGGAGGAGGTGACAGTGCTGCCTTCACTGACACACCCAGGGGGTTTCCAGTCCACAACGGAAGCCTCACTTTTGGTACCATATGTTTCTTCATCCCTTATATCAGGAACCTGTTTTTAAAAGTCAGCAGTTAAAAGCAAAGTGTCATTACACATAAACGTCATGGATCCAAGAGAGAAAAACTATGCAGCTAAATCCACAGTAAATGCTGTTATGGAGCAGAGAGGCCTTGCATGGCAAATCTATTGCTGAAGCATGATTTTGATCTCTACAACAGGTTCTCATAATAGTTAAAATCAAACATGGTGAAAGACTTAAAGCAATGTCAGGCCTCTGAGATCAGTGGTTTCGGGGCTTACATCTGCGTCTGAAGCGTCGCCCCCAGAACTCTCCTGCACCCCATGTGAGTTCTGAAATACCCTCTGGTGCTTGAATTCCACTTCTGAGTCATACTCATTGGAATCCCTTAGGGTGGACAAGCCACTGTCGAAGCAGCTCTCAGGCAGGCTGTCGACTTCATAATTCATCCTCTGCATGGGATCACAGAGGGCCAGTGATTCACAGTCCTCATCCGCATAGGAAGAGCGGGACGACCTGGGAAGGAAAGAGGAGACTGCTCTCGAGAACATGCAGGTGACAGACAGGGATGGAGTAAAAAAGATCAACATCTTCACTTGACAAAAACCACAATGCATTCCATGATTAAGCATCAGGGGAAAGGCAACGCTCGCAGTAACATCAGTTCTTGCAGCAATCAATGAGATGAAGACCCTCAAAAAAAACAGTAAATGCAGTTTTTTAAATATCACATTCTTTATTTCCTAACACAAAAGAATTAAGCACTCAACCTCAAGCTCTGTTAATAAAAATCTACATAGAACTGGGAGCCCTTAAATTTCAATGCTGTCAGACCATATTCTGAAGAGTGCCTTTGTGTCTTGAGAACATCTCTATTTGAAAGGAATGCTGAGAAGGGAAGGGCACTAGTAGTGAGGTGAGTCTCAAACCCCTCAGACATGAGGAAAGATTCATGTATTTGAGTCTTAATGATTTTTCTCTTCAAATGCTTGAAGAGCTGACACAAGAAGAATACAATGTCTTAGGCTGCAGAAGACAAAGTAAGGGATCCCTGGTCAACTTTTCTAGTATCAGTCACCATCCACATGGTGACAATGACAGTTGATCAGCAATGTGTGCTACCCAAATGGTTTGAGCTGAGTGTTCTGCCCCTCGGTGTCAACACACAGCTTGGTGACGCTGCTATACTCTGTCGGGAGGTAATCCAGACTACAGCGAGAACTCCACATACCTACGGGTCTTTGTGTTTGTGAAACCAAAAGTTTGTAAGTAAAGAAGTAATTCACATAAAATGAAACAATCCACAGAAACTGCATACTTCTATGTTTCCTTTTGCTTTTCCATTTTCATATGAATCTAAGCTTCTACTGAAATGACAACAGCTATGAATGACTCAGTGTCCCCTACAGACCTGGCACTACCCTGTCAGCCTCTGCATACATGACTTCTAGTAAGGAGAATGGGCAGGACACACAGATCTTTAAATAGGAGAAAGGAAAAAGGGTGATCTTTAAATCTGAGAAGACAAAAACATTTCTGTGCCATTAGCAAATGTTTAAAATTAGCTAAAAAGTTGGTTTGGCCACTATATTCTCATTCTTTCTCTCCCTAGCTCTTTATCATTCTCCATATATATATATACATACATACATACATACACACACATATATACATATAACATATCGTAGACTTTGTGCATGTGCATGTATGTGTGTATGCACATTTTTGTCTTGTTTCAACATTTATGAAATTCTCCTTCTTTCTTTTGAGAAAGGATCTCACTCTGTAGTCCAGGCTGGCCTTGAATTCACTATGTAGCCCAGGCTGGGCTTGAACTCACAGTGATCATCCTGCCTCAGCGTCCTGAGTGCCAGGATTATGGGCATGTTCCACCATGCCTGGCCTGAAATTTTCCTTCTGAAACTAAATTCAAGTCAATCTGTAAGGAATATGAGAAAACCATTCTTATCACAATGCAGTACACCAATTACTGTGCTTCAGTTTCATGTCTTCACTGCTGTATGTAACGCTTTTTCTAAACCTGTTTGTATTTTAATAAGGTGAAGTGAAACACTCACTTCAGGAATCATCTTGAGTATCTAGACTCTGTGTAAATTAAAGACAGGTCCTGGTCAGATTTTTTTCAAATGCAACTTCAATACATAGCCTTTTTAATACATTGCCTTTTTAAAGTAAAACATTCTTATCTGTTCTGAGATTTTTCACTATACTTATATAAAACTACAAAATAAATTACATTTTTGGCTAGAGTTCTTACAGAAGACACAAAAACAAAACAAATTTACAAAATTAAATAAAGCTACATAAACAATAAAATTTAGTGTACAGCATGCTTTTACTAAGGTTTTTACATTAGCGTGAAAAAGAAAATACCATGTTAACTTTCCATAACAAATCAATCAAGAAACATCATTGCAGGACCCGCTGGGCTCTAATTCCTTTCAGAACAGTGAGCACACGCAGCTACACTCTGCTCACTCGGAGGCCTTGGTGATGTGATGGCGCTGTCCACTAGTGCAAACTCTGCAGGAGCTCTCACCCAGTGCTCGTGAGACTTATTCCTGGTATCTACACTTTCAAAACTAAATCGTGATGAGATTTCTGAAATAATTCTGCATTATTCCCTGCCATTCTCTAGAAATGATCTTAAATATTTGGTCAGAAAAAAGGCATCACACTTCAACATTTTTAAAAATATGTATTTCTCAGTAACAGAGTGGTCGGCTGCCTAAAAAATCAATAAGCCATTAAAAACTCTTATTTAACAAATGAGTAAACAATAAAAAGATCTTACACTCAGTATTTTCTTATAAGTGATCAGCAATAAACTTTGGTAAAAGTTTCTGAATGGCAACTTGATCATCTGGTATCGCCAGAATATAGAGCACATTACTCTTTTTACAAAAAGTACCAAATAAAGAAGGGATGAACACCAAGATAGATTACGTAAAGGTACAAATTTCCAATGATGAATGTCATTATACTGTATACCTAAAATGTACCAATAAAATAAATTTTTTTTAAAAAGGGGATGAACATGAATCAGAAAGCTGTAGAGATAGAGGGCTGGAAACCTTTAGTCATACCTTCACTTCTACTCTCAGACTTTGCCTGCTACAAAATTAACTTCTTAGGAAATATTGGACATATAGGTACACACACACGCACACATGCACTCTTTAATTGTTTAATACTAGTTTTCAAGAAATAACAGGCCCACATTTCCTCTATTTGGTAAAAAAAAAAAAAAAAAAATAGGGCTAACTTTCTAACATTTAGAATGTCTCTGTGATTTCTTCAATACCACAGTAGCTCATAAATGTGCCAAATTTCTATTTGTTTTGGAAGTTTCCACTTCCTGCAACATAGTTCACATGATATTGTGCTGACTTATTAAATACTGGAGCATCATGACAATAGTTGAATTATCATGTACCACATACACTGTAATGTCACATACCATAATTCTAAAACATCTCCTACGGAGTCTAAGAATCAGAGGGTTAAGGATGAGGTAATGGTAGCCATGCATGAAACAAAGTCACAACATCATAAGGAAGTATATTTGCCTCTCTGAATCATTTTCACTTACAGTTTTTACATGGTTCACATTAACTTTTAATGTAAGATCAGGGAAACTGTAAATTGGTACCTAAAATATGTTCCACTATTTTAACTCACTCTAAGGAAATTTATTTCCCTTTTAACTTTGATCTAGGACTCAAATAAAAAAATGATCAGGTGTTAACATACCTGTCATAGCCCAGAGGTTGAAGAGAATGACCATTAAATTTTGGACTGCTTCTAGAAATTGTGTTCCCTGGTGATACATTATTTATGCGCTGTAATACACAAGTAATTACTTAATGTAAAATTTTATATACACACTTTATATATACCAACGTTTAATATAACAAAGTTTGGCATCCTACATGAGCATGAAAATCAACTGAAAAACCGTAGCAAAGATAATTGAACACAGTTCTCTCTTCTTAGCATCAGATCTTAAGTCCAAACTTAACCCATATTCCATAAAGGACCCTGGTTGCCCAAATTCACCAGGATCCTATAACATCAAATTCCTAGGATATCTCTTTTGAAGCTATTAATTTGACTCGGTGATTAACTATTCCATATCCAAAAAAAATCACTAAAATCCTAGCCTGAAGCTGACCCAACAGTGGGATTGAGAGGCACATGGCAAATGCAGTCTTAAGAGAGGCCTGCAAAACTCCACAAGGAACCTAACTTATTTCTGTAGGAGGCTGTGAGAGCCAAGGCCTTCGTTCAGACAGACTCACTGTTCTGATGTGTACTCAGTGTGTCTAAACTCAACCCCAGCCAGAATTATCTCTCCTTCCTCTCAAATGGCAATATTTTGTTTTTACCACAATGCAATTTTCCACTTTTTCTTGTATTATGGCTATCCATCTGTACACACCTAACTACCTATGACACTGCAAACTATTCTAGGGTAAAGATCACATCTTACACAACTTACTCTCATTTCCCAGAATGTCTGACTTAACATCAAGGCAGATGATGCCTTCATTTCTTCAAATGGGTAGTGTATTTTTAATTTGGAAAATTGACCCCTTTCAATTTTATGGAAAGAGTTTCTCTTGTTTATAAAGATCTACATGAAGTTCTCCTCTAAGATATTACACAATTTTCATCTCTTTCAAAATACACAACCACGAGGACAGACAAGCAAAGCATGTTATAAAATGATAATGGCATACCAAGGATCTGTTGAGTTTGCTGTAACTGTTTTCCAGGGCACTCCTAAGGCCATCATTACTGTCGTGGAGCTTCCGGTTAGCTGTTCTGTATGATGAAAAAGAAGATAGATGGATCAGGAAAGTATCAGTGAGGACCAATGTTAACACTTTCTTTTCAGAGAGTGATGTTCAGTATGTAGATTTATCACCTTTTGCAATTTTCTCCCACTTCCCTTCGAACCTCAGAAACAGATCATAATCAATTACTCCAAGTACAACAGGACTGGTTAATTACCGCTCTTTAAAAGTCTCAGGTGTTTCAGGAATGAGTCACTATGGAACCCATTCTTCTCTTGTCTTCTCCTGTTTGAACAGGTTTCATGCAAATGCCTGGACCCCACTAGGCACTGCACCCATCCCAGCACCCAGACACGGTTGCAGGGTGTGGTGTCATGCTTGAGTTTCCTGGCTACTTCTGCATCTTACTCTTGGGCTTGGAGGACTTGTATACCATACCTTGGCTCGTCATCTCAGACAGATCTGGATTCAAATTCCTATTCAGGCACTGACTTCCACAATGACTTCATAAAAGTCATTTAACATCAAAGCCTCCCTGGGTTACAAAATGAGGAACAGAGCCCCTGCCTCATGAAGTGGCTGATCTTTCCTGGCTCAAGGCCACTTGATCACTCAGATCTCAGCTCAAGTAGCACTTCTTCAGGAACACTTCCTTGACCTCAGTAGGCCAAAGCTCCCCTTAGGGGACATGCAGCTTCTCTTTGCCAGACATCTCTCGCCTGGCATTTTGTATGCATTTTTACACTACTGGTCAGTGTCTGCCTTGCTCCTCTCGAACAGCCCCATAAGAAGAGAGGCTGTTTTCTCCTACTTGCCAATCATCTTCCACTCCCAGCATGCCTGATCTGTAATAGGTGCTGACTGAAAAGTCCATTAAGTGAACAAATGAATAAACTCCTAAGACTGCTGTAGGAAACGAATGCTACAGTTACACAGGTAAGACTTAATAAGAATGCTGCAAAAAATTCTTGTCAGGCTGGGGGTTTAGCTCAGTGGTGCTGCCACCTGCCTCACAACTACAAGGTCCCAGTACCAAAAAAAAAAAAAACACTTGTCAAGCCTGACCTCAAGTCATCTGGTGAACTGAAAACAGAAAAAAATGCTCCATGGGTAGAAAGGAAGAAAGGGGAGAGGGAGGTCAAGCTTTTGAGGGGGATACCCTCACAGGATGAAACTAATGTAACTCAGTTGTGAAGCTGACAGTTCAAGTGTGGTATCTCTTGGGAGAAAAAGCTAAGTAAACATATACCTCTAACAAGCATAAGAAAGTGACAAAGAACAATGGCACAGGCACTGTGTGGCCAACATGAGAAGTCTGAGAAGCTCCCAAGATGTGGAGCTGCAGATGAAGTTGAGGGGTCAGGGATGTTATTCTCCACAAATAACAATACGGCATAAAAAGGACATGCTGAACACAGCACATGACTCACAAAGATTTTAAAGAGCTAAATCTATTCCCTGCATTTGAATAACGAATTTAGGATCAGACACATCAGAAAGTTATGCAAGTGAAAGTACTGAATGCTCCACAGTAAGAAGCCTAGTCCTATGTGAATGCGCTATCTGGTGTTATCCATGGCATGTGTTCTATTAACAAAACAGAAATCAAATGTAAATGCAATGAGCACTTTATATAAAACTTACTGGAGTATTTCAATTTGCCTCTCAAGACTATTTCGATCTTCTGTGTATTCTTGGATTATTTCCAGATCCCTGTAAAATTATATTTATGTTTAAAATGGGAATTAGGTGTCCAGTCCTGCCTCACCTACACCCATCCTCCCAGGCCCTCTTTCACCTTCCCAAAGACTCTGTGTCTTTGACTTGTCTCTCTCCCTGCTGCCCTCGCTCTATCCCCTATGGCACCAGCCCCACATGGACCAACACTCTGCTTCCTTGTGCAAAATTCTGTCCCATGTCCCACACAAGCAAGATGGCGCTTCCTCCTTGACTGCTGCTCAACACACACCAGCTCCTCCCACTCCCCTCCTCTGGCCTGGTTCTGCTCCCGAGTCCCCTCTCCCCCACAGTCATGGAAGAGGTCCCTTCAATCCTGGGAACCTTCTCTCCCCCCTCTAACCTTTATAAAATCCCAGCTCCACTTGTCCTTTCCTTTCTTGAGCTCTGGCTCCTCTCTCTCTCTCTTCCCTATTGCTCTCTCCTACTCACTTTAAACCAGAGGAAGCCACCAAACCCAGCATTCTGGGCTCATGGGAAACTCACACTCTGTACTCCTTCTGTTGCTTTATTATAGAAGCCCTGGCTTCCTTCTCAAACTGAGCCCTCAAAACATGTGTCCCTCAGCTCAGGCCGTGCTCAGCCCCAGTGCTGAACAGACAAACCCATCATTAGCTTGATAGCTCTTAGGCTATCAAGTTCTGTGAAGAAAAAACTGTCCGTTTGCTCCGTGGATGGTAAAGCTCAAAGTTTCCCAACTGTCTACGGAAACGTAAGTTTATTCGTAAAAAATTCTGGGCCCCTGCAGTTTAAACTAGCTTTTAAATTTTTTATTTTAAACTTTTGCTTTTCCATTGACACTATCTCTTTTCCAATAGTCTGGCCATCTTTCCCAAGCCAGACTGACCCTTCCCCTACGTTCTTGCCCCTGCTTGGTTACTGCCCCACCTGGGACATTACTGAGATTCTCTTCTCAACTACAACACATAGATAATGAAGGTCCCTGTCTGACAGGGGATTCTGTGAGCTACAGGAGAAAAGGCCAGTCAAAAGCTAAGGACAGTGCCCTGCAGACAGCTCGGCTGCCAGTCTCCATTACTGAAGCTGCTGTCACTGCTGCCTCTTCATCCCTGATCAACACAGGACCATCCCACTGCCCACGTCCTCCTTGGGTTTCTCTTTAACAAAGACTGAATGAAAAGAAAACATGATCACGTGGTGATGGACCCCAGACATAACCCTGCTGGTAAGAACTTTTACTTAGTTCTTACCTTGTTTAACCCTGAATCCTTATTGTTTTCCCCTCAACAAAATTTGAGTTCTCAAACAGCAGAGACTCTATCTTTTCCCTTTTATTTGCATACTCCAAATTCAGTATTCCCTATCTTGCTCAGTTATCTGTTTACAGTATATTTAATGTTCCACTGTTTTCCAATTTAAAAACCTTGATTCTGATCAAAGTTTAGAAACAAAAACTAACATTTTCCAACTGCCGAAGTATAAAGGTTATAATTACTTTTTCAAAGGTTATAATTATTCTCCCTGGATATTTAATCCATGCTTATGACTCTTATGTATAAATACATGTCTGTAGTAGGTTTTATATTATTAACATCATATTCTAAAAGGAAAGTATCAAAAAATTAAGCAGCTCACTTAAGAGATCTACTCTTCTGGGGTTTTTTTGCTTAAATTCTTTTACTGTTACATTTTAGGTATACAATACATTTACAGAAGGGAAAGGAGAAAAGACAAAAACGGAAATACTCTTCTGGTTTTTATGTTTTAGGTCAAGATTCTTCTCTGCACAGCACTTTAACAAGCATATATGATTCACAGCTTAGTTGTATTCTTCCAGTTCCCAGTTAATCCAACCATTTATTAAGCCCTGCACTCTTCTAAGCAGCTAATAATTAAGCCTGTAAAAAAAAATTTAAAACATACACACAAAAAACCCCTGAGGAAATACGACAATGAAGTCACAATCTCTAGAAAGTAAAGAATGTACTGGCTAAGCTAAGGAAGAGCCCTTTATTATTACATTGGCCAACTCCATTCCCATGGATCACCTAAATAAATATTCCACTCAAACCGAAAAATAAAATGCAGTTTCATACCTTTCAGAATTCAGACTCTGGTCAGCATAATCACTTTTTAGAGCATCCAGTTCACTCTGAAGAAAGGCTATGTTTGTCTGTGCTTCTAAAAGCTCTTTCTTAATTTTCTGATTTTCCTAGTGAAAAAAGTACAGGGCATTAGATTCAGTTTCTTGCTTCTAGGAGAAAGAAAGCAAAGTGTGGTGTAATTGTTACATGTATTGCTCCTAACTTTCCCCAATTCTCCAAGTCTCTCTGATCAAAGAACTAATTACCTATCCAAGGTAATCTGAAATTATTGTAAATTATTTGCTTCTAAAATCTAAATCTTTAGAGCTCCTCTTGAAATCTTTAGTGCTTGATATTTGTTACCAGTCTGTAATAGTGAACAGTTTATCATGTTGTACTTTAATATGTCACTGGCAAATTAACTGAGTCAAACATTCGAACACCTGCTTTACTTAATGACAGCTGTAAAACTACTGATAAGCATTCTATGAAAAAAACTGTACCTATCACAGGTGTAGTGGCCACATTTTACGGTACATGCTATCACCTAACATTTTTAAGTTGTGTGCTGAAAAATAAACCAGTGTGGCTAGGAAATTTATATCTTGTTTCTTTAAAACAATTATTGGAGGGTTATAGTCCAAGATAGTAAACTGAGGACCCAAATTACGCTTTTTCCCTTCTGAAAGTCCATTAACACCAAATACCAAAGGAATGAATCAATACCACTTAAAGGAATGAAAGAGGGGCCCATGAAATGGCATGGAAATGTGCTGCCAAAAGGAGAGCAGTTGATAGGGAAAGCTAGTGGGTGTGGCTTGGATATAATCTAAGCTGCCACCACCCCACCCCCACCCTTCCTGGGCCAGGTCTGGTGGTGTAGAGGTGCTGTGCTCTGTGAAAGATGGAACCAAGTGGGAACTCCTTTGGTCACCAGGACTTTAGGACTGGAGTTCACTCTGCCTTCCTGTTTGGTGATGTGATCTCTCCCTCTCACCCACTCCTGCCATCCTCCATGAGGTCCTCACCAGAACTGAGCTAATACTGGTACAGTGGCCTTCAATCTCCAGAACTATGAGCTAAATAAAAGACTTTTCTTTCTAAAATCAGCCTCTCTCAGGTATTTCATTATAGTAACAGAAAATAGATGAATACAGTAGTCTAGAAGAAATGTGTTGAAGGCCCTGGCAGGTTAACGCAGAAAGTAGGAAGGAGGGCTGGGGATTTAGCTCAGTTGCACTGCTGCCTGCCTCCCTGAGTTTGATTCCTGCCCGCCCACACACACAAAAAAAAAAGGTAGGAAGGAGAAATGGGCTGGAAACAAGAGATTAGGATTGTATATTATGGCACACCACCCAAGTCCATCCCCTTGCTTACCCTAGCAAAGAAAAGCAAATGGATGGAGTAGATTCCAAAGGCAACAAGACAGATCATCTTTTTTAAAAGAACTGAGTAACTCCGATGAGGAAATACAAATCTGCTCTCTACACACTTTGTCCTACTCATTCTGGGAACTAGGGTCACACAGCCTCACAGCCAGCTTACACAGAACTGTTAGGAAGATACTTTCTCAGGGACAGGCTTTGAGGTGACCATACCTACCCCACCCACCTACAATGAGCAAGCTCAGCCTTCACTTTAAAATATGAACTGATCACTAAGGATTACCAGTTATAGGGGTGTGGGATACAGCTAGAGAAACCTAGATGAATCAATCCCAGAGGAGTACCAGAAAAGTTCATTTATCTAGACCAGTGGCAGTGAACCTATGGCATGCATGTTATTGTGCTTTTCTTTTAAGACAAAACATGTTAATGTATGAGCTCTTTTTTCTAAACTAAAACGTCAGTGCTCAGGTTTAACTGCAGTGTTGGCACTCTGCGATAAATAAGTGGGTTTGGGGTTGTTTGGCATTAGATCTCTAAAAGGTTCACATCACTGATCTAGACAAATTCAGTAAATTGTGAGGGGGAAATAGACAAACTCACATATTCAAAAGTGGAGTAAATGAACCCCCTTTCTGTAGAAACTCCTGAAGATGTACCATGGTAAAATAGAGAAAATCCAGAAGGAAGATACTATACCATGCAAAATACTGCAATCCAGTGAAGAACACAATGAAAAGAAATCTCAATATGACATATGGGTAGGAAGTTAAGTTTAATAAACAAGCAGTTCAACAAAAAATGAGATTTCATGACCTCCAAAGTTAATACTGTTAAGGGAAAAAATTAAATCCCATGTAATGAGAAGCCTAGAAAAGGGAGTCTCTCAGCCCTCTGTGGGTAGGGTATGAAGACTGCAAGTTCTAGCCCAGCTCGAGCAATTTAGCAATATAGGAGACCCTTTCTCAAAATGAAAAACAAAAGGCTGGGATGTAGCTTAGAGCAAAGGCCCTGGGTTCAATACCCATTGTTGAAAAGAAGTCTGAAGGTATCAGAGATATCAAAAAAATAGTAGGGTTTCTTTTAACAAAAAGAAACCAAGAACTCAACTAGGGGAAAAAAAAAAGTCAAACAAAAAGACATGAAAGTCATGATCCAAAGGTGAAGCCAACTAAGATGTGGCACAATTTGGAAGTGGTAATGCATACAAGGAATTCATCTGACCATGAAGCAGGGAGCCATGTCTGGTGAGCGGTGTAAGGATAAGGACTAGAAGAAATAAAATGCAATCCTAGGTCACTAATGGCTTTACAGTGAAAAATATTTAAAGGTGTAATAAAGAAAATGTACTTTAACTGCTTTCCAATTTTGAAGTTAACCTAAAACCAAACTAAGAAAACTTGGTAATGATAACACATTAATCACATTAACTTCAAGAGAAAAAGTAAAGATGTAGTCAGCAAAAGATGGAGGGGTCAGAACAAGGACGGCTGGAGGGAGGAGAGGAAGTAAAAGGTAAAATAAAATCATTCATAATAGGATGAAATTCACTAAGGGGAAAAGCCTCGCATATAATACCTTTGTTCTAAATGGAGTAACAGTTTCTCTTTAAATTTCTATTCCTGGAATGCTGAAACATCAGCATGATTACGATTACACTGTCTAATAGGAAATGTATTTCTGAAAGTGAAAGGTGATGCTTACCATTGACAAATCATAAATTTGTTTTTTTAATGCTGCCACATCTTCTTTTTTATTTATATGCTTTGATTGTTCTTCAAGCTGAAAGAGCAAACTTGTGCATTAACAAAGTTTATTTTGAATTACTTTAGTTAAGTATAAGAATTTCCTTTAGTATAAATATGAAAATTCTAGACAGCTCCAATTTCTAACATTATAAGACTTTATAACTCATTAAACATCATAAAATCCATGAGGATTTGAAAATCTGTTTCGAATAATTTAAACATTTAAAAAGATTTTATTGTCAAAGGAACTTTCTTGGAAACAACATAAAAAAAGCCCTTTTTGGAGACTAATGAACTATTAAGTAACCTAAGCCTTACTTCAATTATATATGCATCTGGACATATATATTCTCTTAGAACCTGCCCAAAACACTTTCTATTCTGCATTATAATTGCTTATGAGTGTTTTACCTCCCCCATCAGAGTGTAGATTTTTTAAGAGGAGAGTTGGTATCAGATTCGCTTATGTTTTCTTCATGGTAAGTTAAAGAAGTGCTTTATAAATGAAATCAATAAAAACTAAGCATAATGTAAAGCCAGAGACTCACGTACACACAATTACATTAGTGCATACCTGAGCTCTGCTTACTGATGCCTCATTAGTATTAGCAGACGAAAATGGTTCAGGAGCATCTAACATGGAAAACAGAAGTGTCCTTCCTACAAAGAGCTTACAACCCCGGGAATTGAGGCTCTCTGGATGTCCACGCATGGAGTAGCGACACACTGATCAAAACTGCTTCCCACATTTCAACAAGTCTGGGTATTTAAACTGTGGACTTTATCTGCCATATGGTATCAAGGGAAGGTTTTTATATAACTATGTCACAACTGCTATGTGGCTGACTGTAAGAAAAGCCATTGATTTTAAGATACATTCTGACTCTACTTAAGAAAAATTGGAAGAAAAATGAGTTATTCAGAAATAATGATATAAATTAATGGTAATCAGAACAATCATATACTTTTTCTATGATCTTATTATGGTCCTAATGTAATCTCACATAAATCATCTTATTGTCTCACATAAGAACCATGTCATGTGGGCAAGAAGTCTGATATAAGTGAGAAAGCACAAGCAATGTAGTAAGATGACTCCTTCAGTTATTAGCTGTGCGACTTTAAATAAGTAATCTGCCCTCCCTGGAACTCAGTCCATACGTGTAAAAGTAGGGTATGCATATCTTCTTTAAAAAAGAGTTTAAATTTAGATTTATTTAAAAATTATAAGAACTTAATAAGCTGTAAAGTCTACAAAATATTAGTTATTATGGTTAAGCAGAACAATTTACTGTTAATCCCATTTTATAGGTAAGAAACTAAGAATCAGAAAATGAAATGAACTGTTTCAGGTCTGACAGGGAGAAACTGGTGCCGTTTTGATAAAGACTTGGCCTCATCACTCCCGACATGGTCCTCATTGTCCAGGTCTTCAGTAGCAGCCACTGTCTCAGGCCAATTTTCTTGCACACATTCTCTTACTCTAAAGACCTAGGAAGCCACAAAAGTAAGGACAGCCGCTGACTAGGAGAGTACGGCTCTAGCATCAAAAGGAGATCCGCTGATTCAATTCTGCAGTACAAGCACAGTACGATGATACCATGATTTTCAAAAATTAAGTGTAAGGTACACATGAATGGCAATTTTTCAAACTTGCTGGGAAGAATTCTTCATCATCCAGAGGTTTCAATCTGTCATTGCCTACAAATAGTTAAGTCTCACTTCATTTCACTGTCCCCTTCAGGGACTGTTTAAATGATCTGTTTTATTTAAGCTATCTCTAATGGAAATAACCACATGCAAGCAGCAGATATATAGTCCTATGCTGAAGCCAGACTGCTCCAGCAGGTCAGAGTCTACTTCAAACATCTCTTCCCAGTTCTGCTCTTTGTGATGCCACTTGCAGCTAGAAATCAGTAATGGTGTGAGTATCTACACCACTGAAACTGGTAAATGCATTTACAAATCCCTCTCTTCCTCTTCTGCCCTCCTCCAGAGCCACTTGTTAATATCCACTAGTACATTGCTGGATGCTGCTCATTAGAATTGAACAGAGACCAAACTAAAACCCAATCACACCTCTTTATATTTCCACAAGTTCTTTCTCGGAATTTGCTGATGAGGCTTCCCCTAGATCTGGAACTTTCTACTTAGAGAAAGTATATTCCTTTCATTTAAAAAATATTCACTGCTACAGACCTTGCAGTGAGCTAGGGGTAGGGATGCAGAAATGCATGACAAAGGACTCTCTGCCAGTGTCTCTATGGCAAAGAGCAGATAGCCCACTGGGCACTGGGGACCTGCGGCACTTGGCTGGTGAAGACTGAGCAAAGCAAAGTATGGTTTGTAGAACAAGTTATTCAAGGGATCAGAAATATTTATTAGCTCTACAAGAAAGACAGGTGGTCCTGGAAATAGAAGAGGAACGTGGGTGCCTTAAACCATCTTTCCAAGGAGTAGACTTGACTTTGAAATCTGATTCTGTCTGCCTTTTCAGTATAATTCCAGATGTTTTTAGTTTAATTGCTTAGACACATTGAGGTCCTGAGAGTGTTCCTAGAAGTCTAACTACCACATACCTACCATTCTTAGTTTTTTAATGGTCACCTGCAGGTCTCCTACTTCTGTTTCATACTGACGTTTGAGGTCACTGAGAGCTTCTTCAGCTTTGCGTTTTTCCTAAAAGAAAAAATATAGACTTTTTTTATTTAAATAGGTTCAGCCTTTTAAATAGCTTTTAAAAGCCTATAGGTGAGAAGCATTCTGCATCAAAAAAATCTTTCTTGAATTCTCCCACACAGCAAGGGTGAGAAGGGAGGGCAAGGAAGAAAACAGAATGCTTCAGACATGCAGTGGGTCTGGAAATGAAACTCACAAATTCAGAACTGTAGAATTCCAGTCTACGTATACACACTGCCTTGAAGTGATAACCTCTAAGACTATTACATTGTGATAGGGTGCCACAGCATGGCAATTAATTAGCTATTAAAAGATATTGCATAACTATGAGCTGCAATGCTTGTTTGAATCTTCACAGCTCAGGACTCACTAAGGTGTAGTGAATATACCTTTTCTCTAGAGCTTATGCATTATTTGAATTGCAAATTGCATCACTGCAAATTTCGATGCAAAGTGCCTCTTCATAGGCTGGTACAGTTATGCGTTGCTTAATAGAGATAAAATCTGAGAAATGTGTCCTTAGGTGATTTTTTCGTTGTGTGAACATCAGAAAGCACACATATACAAACTAAGATGGCCATGACATTATGAGAGGATAATGGAACCACTGTAGTAAATTTAGCCAGTTGTTGGATGAGATACCATGCAACACACAACTGTACTTCTCAAATTCAAATGAGTCCCTTTAAGCTCCCTTGAAGCAGAAAGTGGAAAAATAGGGGTTGCCATTCAAAAGCTCCCCATGCTAATATATTTCTAAATGTCCTTTTTCTCTTAACAAAGTACTTATCTTATATCCAGTATCCATTATCCAAACAGTTTTATGTTAATAACCAGTGAGATTCAGCATACTGGCATTCACTAATAGCCCTTTGCCGATAAAGGGTCCCCTGTTCTGCAAGTTTCTACTGAGAGGGGTGGTTCCAGATACTGGAGGCAGGGACGGGGAGAGGACAGTGTAAACGGATGCTCTTAAGCATTCCAGTAGGAAAGAGGGGGAAAGATAATTTCAAGAAACGACATGGAAGGAAAAGAAACAGGGAAAAGTGAATGGAGGAAAAGGTAGGGCCTTTTCCTTGGATTTAAATCATCCAAGTAAATCAATCGACATCAGTTAAATAATATATGTAAAGACAAAATTCCAAGTAAATCAAATATTTCATGAAAATTGATCCATATAAATGAAATAATCCATGTAAATTACATAACCTATTTGAAACGTTCAGCAGAAGGGCAACATTTTTCCAAATGGTAACTTTTTTAAAAAGTTTAACTACCTTACCTTCACCCAACCTTACGGGTGAGGAGGTGAGAACTGCCCATTTCACAGGTGGATGGAGAAGCTGTGGCCTCCTGAGGTGCCCATTCAAGCAGCCTTCCCGGCATTAATATCAACTTGAACCTAAGTTCATATGAATGCCCGGAAGGCTGCTTGAATTCATGGCCACAAACCCAAACACAACAACGTGTATGATTTTAAAATATTTTACTCAGAGCTCAATTAGGGACAATATCATCAGTCTATTTCATTCCTAACCTGCAAGAGGTAGACAGGCACAGGGATCTCAGACAGGAGGTTATTAGGGTAAGGTAGGTAACGAATGGTGTGATTCAGATCAATTCTTTACAAAGATCCAGCAAACAGAAATGAAGGGAACACATAAGTGACTTAATGAGACAATGAGACCCCGAATGAGCCTGACACTAAAATCAAAGACATTAGAAGAAAACTACAGTTTCCTATAATTATAATACAGAAAAAATAATTAAAACTTAGCAGAATGAATCCAACAATAAATGAGAATAATACATCATAATCAACTGGGATTTAACTCAAGTGTGGAAGATCATTTTAACACTGAAAATCAATGTATATAATTCATCACATTAATGTTTTAAATAAGAAAGAAATACATGATTATTTCAATAGACACAGAAAAAGCATTTGGCAAAATACGACATCCTTTCCCCAATAATAACTCTTAGCAAACAAGTAACAGAAAGGGTCCTTTTCTACGTAGTAAAGAGAATCTGCATAATATACTATTAACATTGTACTTGTTAACACTGAATGACTAAATACATACAAGAATTACTACTTTCATCATTTTTACTCTTCTTGCCAATGCAATAAGAAAAATAAAAAGCACCATCAAGATTAGAAAAAGTGAAACTGTCTTTATTCAGAGATTACACTATCATCAACCTAAAAATCTGACAAAATCTACCAAAAGCTGAGTGTAAACAATGTAAACAATGCTACAGAATAAAAGTTATACACAAAAATCAACTATATTTCTATATATTTACAAAGAACAATTAGAAATTAAAAGTTTAAATTTTTTCAGGGAAGATTAATAGTGAGGTAGACATGATCAAAGTATGGTATGTGCATGTACAAACAGGCCAAAAGTAAGCCCATTATTTTGTATAACTAATATGTACTAATTTAAAAAAATAACATTTTCAATAGCATCATAAAATGATATGTTAGAAATAAAATTTAAGAAAAGATGAATAATATCTGCACAGTGAAAATTATAAAACATTGCTGTAAGGAAGACCTAAGTAAATAGATATAAATTACACCTGTGCATAGAATAAATATTCAATATGGTTATGAATTGATCTACAGATGCAATGAAGTAAAATCAAACCCCCAGCACACTTGTTTTTGGTTTGGGTTTTTTTTTCTTTAGAAAATTATAAGCTAATTTAATAGAAATTAAAGAATTTTTTAAAAATAAAAACAATCTTTGAAAAAGAACAGAGTGAACGAATACCACTTGATTTCGAGACTTCTTATAAAGTAATAGGTATTACTGTTGGTATAAAGACAGACAAATCAATCCATAGAACAGAAAAGAGAGCCCAGAAATAAATCTACACAAATACACTAGACTGATTTTAGACAAAGTCCAAAGTAGTTCAGCGGAGAATAGTCTTTTCAACAACAGGTACTAGATCAATTGGATACTACATTTAAAAAAAAAACGAAACAAAAAAAACCACTGATCCATACCTTGTACCATATACAAAACATCTTACATGTAAAACTTCACACAATAAAACATCAAAAATCATGGACTGGTCAAAGATTTTTTTTAAATAAAACATGTTTATTTTAAAACATTATTTAAAATAAAAGTATGATCCATAAAAGAAAAAAATGGGAAACTTGGACTTCAACAAAAGACAATGTTAGGGCCAGGGATGTGGCTTAGCAGCACTGTGCCTGCCTAGAAACCACAAGGTCCTGAGTTTGATTGCTGGTACTGAAAAAAAAAATCTAAAAAAAGAGACAATGTTAGCACAATGAAAAGACAAGTCACAGTTTGGGTGAAAATATTTATATGTATCAGTATCTGGTAATTGACTTACATTCAGAATATATAAAACTCAAAACTCAGTAATAAGAAAATAACCAATTTTTTAAAATTAGCAAAATCTTTTTACAAGAACCTCACCAAAGAAGATATAATAAAGAAAACAGATTAAAAGATCATCAAAACCACTAGTTAGCAGAGAAATCTACTCAAAACAGTAAAAAGATTCCTCTACACCCCAATTAGAATGCTGAAGAAGAGAACTCCATACACTGCTGTATAATGGCACAGCCACTCTGGAAATCAGTTTGGCAGAGTCTGACAAAAACAAAAACACACCTATGCAAATAGTCCAGCCTTTCCACTCTAGGAATTCACTCAAGAGAAATAAAAATAAAAGCCTATCTAAATTCCTGTATATGAATACTCCCAGAACCTTACTTTGAAATAGCTAGCAATGGGAAATAATAAATGACCTTCAACAGATGGATTAATAAGCAAACTGAAGTATATCTACGTAGCAGACTACTACTCAGCTACAAGAAACCATGAATATTGATACATAAGGGTCAAAAAGTAATTATGTTGAATAGAGGAATCCAGACAGACAAAAAAATAGGATCATTTATGTATAATTCTAAATATATGTACTTATGTAAATTTATGTATGATTTCGTTTATGTACAATTCTAAAAACTTGAAAAGAATCTATAGTGAACAAACAATAGTTTTCTGGTAAAGAGAGAAAAAGAAAGGGGGAAGGAAGAGTTAACAAGAGGTCCTGAAGAAACTTTTCTGGTGGAAACATCCATGCTCTTGTTTGCAGAGATGTTTTCATAGTATATACCTACATTCAAACATAGGAAAGATCACCAAGGGCAGCACAAGATTTTCTCTGAATATCTCCAAATTTAGGACAGTGAAAAGGAGAGGGGTGACACTCCAAAAAAAACAGCCGGAGCAAAGGCAGAGCCATGAGCATTAGCCAGCATGTAGGGTGAAGACCCTCAGGAGCTGAGTGGAGCCATGCTGACCAGAGGGCAATTAGGAAAAGTCTTCTGTGAAAGAGCACATGTCACTGCAGAGTCCATTTAGAAGGGTCTGAGGTAAATACAGAAGAGCTGGAAGAGGTTTCCTCCCAGAACCAAAGCTGCTTGGCTGCTGACGGTAGGTTTAGGACCAGCATGCTGAGGTATCAGAGACCACATATAGCTGGCAAATGGCTGGCCGCCTGTGCCATCACTGTGGGGGTAGAGAAAGGGTGGTGTGGTTGCCGTGGATTTTCCACTCCTAGACCAAAGTCAGAAAACCATGGACAAGGTTAACATTAACAAAGCATGAAGTTGGCCAGGGATTTAGCTCAGTGGTTTCAGTGCCTGCTGCGCAAGCACAAGGACCCGAGTTCGATCCCCGGTACCAAAAAAAAAAAAAAAAAAGCATGAAGTTGTAAGAGGTGGGTGCCATGGTAATATACCCACTACCAACAACTAATCTGGGAAGCTTTGGAAGAGCAATGAGATAATAACAGATTAACACATATACTTGATAAGGACCTGACCAATGAATGAGTACACATATTAAATACAATGTATGGAAAGAAAAAAAAAGACAAAGATTTTACTCTTTCTGAACTCCAATAAAGAAACTGCTCGAATAGGCTATCCATTGTTTTAA